CTGCCGTGCGCCCCGAGGCGCGCGGCGGTTTTCTGCCCGCCGTGCGCCCCGAGGCGCGCGGCGGTTCTCTGCCCGCCGTGCGCCCCGAGGCGCGCGACGGGTTTCTGCCCCGTCACACCGCGCGTTGCTCCTGGGAGGCGCTGCGACGGGCGACGGGGACCCGCGCGTCCCCCTCCGTCGCCCGTCATGGCCTACGCGCGGCCCGTACAGCCGGTGCGCGGCCCGTACGGGCTGCGCCAGGCCCGCGCGCGGCTCGGGCCGCCTGCGCGCGGTTCGGGAGGCTGTGCCAAGCCCGTGGGCGGCCCGTTCTTCGCTGCCCCTGTCCTCTCCGCTATCCCCCGTGCTTCTGAAGGCGCCCCACCCCTCCTTCTGCCCATTCTTCTGGATTAGGGTTTTGGGGTGGGGGGTATGGGGGTGCAGCTTCTGTGTGTCGTTCCTTGCTCCTCCTCCTCCTCCTCCTCCTCCGTCTCCCTATGCTGCAGCTGCCGCTGAGGGGGGGTGGAGCTGTTGGAGCCGTCGGAGTGGTACTAAGGGGGGGTGAAGGGGGAGTGGAGCTAGGGGTGAAGCAGGGGGTGTGTGTCAGGAGGGGTGGTACTGTTTGGGGGAGGTTGAACGGAGGTTGCCGTCGTGTCGCCAGCAGCACCTGTAGTCCGGGGAGTTGCTCCGGTAGCCCAGTCGTAGCCACCTGTGCCAGTCGCCCGTGGGTCCGTTGCTCGTCTGCCGCTACTTTTTGCCGCGGGGCCAGTTACTCCAGTAGTCCGGAGCGCTGTTCCGGTAGCCGCTGTGCCAGTGTGCCTCCTGTTGCCCGTGTGTCTGCAGCTTCAGCCGTCGCCTCCTATCTCCTCTCCTCTCACTGTCCCTCCTCCTCCTCACTTGCCCGTTGTGACTACCACTAGCTTTGCTCATAATTGTGAACTTTAAACTATTGCTTCTTGAACTTGTGCTCAGAATGTGTGGTGACATTGTGATCCACCCTGAGCTTGTTCTGCTTTGCTTGCTCTGCTGATTACACCCCACTTTGGCTATGGGGGTGTGTCAGAATGTTATGCTCTAGCCTGTAGTGGGGTGCTCTATAGCGAGTACAACCCTTCTAGGGTTTGCTATTTGTATCCTCATTCTTGCTAGTGCAACCTCTCTTTGCCTAAACTTTCTCTTACCTAGCTACGGCTTTCCTAGCTATGGCTCCTTCCTCTACTAGTTATCTTCACAGTGGTAAGTCGGCCTCGGGGCAGGTAAGACAAGTTCCTCGTGCCCGTTGAAGCTCTCTTCCATCGGGCAGTAGTAACGAGTCCTTGTCATGAACCCCTGCTCTTATTATGTTGTTTAACACTGTGTTGCTTGGGTGTCCCATGCGTGCGTGCCAGATGTCTTCGGAGGCATGGTGTCCGGGAGAGCGTCGGTACGCGTCGGAGTTGCAGTAGAAGACGGCGGTGAAGTTTGCGCTTCTGTGGACTTCTCGTTGGGCCGGATCTAGCTGTTGCACGGGTTTCGGTGGTGTTTCAGTCAATGAGGACTGGTGTCGTTGAAGGACCAGCGATCGGTGTCGTTGTTGCTGCTACTGCCGTTGTTGATGATGTCTCTGCTGCTGCTTATGATGATGTCTCTACTGCTGTCGATGTTGTTTCTGCTGCTGCCGATGTTGTCTCTGCTGCTGCCGATGTTGTCTCTGCTGCTGCCGATGTTGTCTCTGCTGCTGCCGAATGTTGAATTATTACTAACGCACGTGTTCGTTATGCTTCAGGGATGGTACGTGAATACCAGAAGCCTTCCGGACTGAAATCGGGGTCGCGATCCGGCGGGTGCGTCCAAGATGTGAAGGTGACGATTCCGTCACTGTCCGTGGTGCCCAAGTCTGGGACAAAATCAAGAACGAAGACATTGTTCTTCAGGACCGCCTTCCCGATGTAGAGGCCGCCTTTTCCGTGGTACAGCTTGAACTCCTGAGTGGTGCTGTTAGCTTCCTGATGTATGCCCTTCACCATCAACTGACTGACGCTCAGTAAGTTGTAGCCGAGTCCTTCTGCTTTTAGAACATTTGACATTTGCAGGATGACGTTTGTCTCTCGTGACTGAAGTTGCACCACGCCTTGTCTTCGTGTGCACAGGTTCTGATTATTGGCGACAGTGATGACGACTTTCCGTTGAAGCTGGTGTTCGCGTTGAACGAAGCGTCCTGAAGAGCACATGTGTTGTCCGCAGCAACTGTCCAAGAACCATGTATCCTTCCCGGATGGCTCGCTTTCAACGATGGCGGCGTACGTCGGATTTGGTTGAAGGGACTCGCGCCGAGGCGTGCTGTTGTCGAGGTGCTCTTCTGGTGAGTAGTGTGGTGGTGACTCGGCTACGCGGGAGTCAGTTAGCTTTGCCATGCAACTGACGATGTTTCTTGTTCCTTTCGCAGGTTGTCCTGTCGATGTTGTTGAGACTTGTACCGAAGTTGTCGGATTCGCTTGGGTTGAGGCGACTTGGCTGCTTGAAGGACGGAGCTGGCGTTGCAGCGACGTTGACTGCTGTCGATTCGGGCAGAGCGTACGAGGGTGCCCTGAAGTTTTGCAGAGGTGGCAGAACGGAGGTACGATTCTTGGTCGATTGTTATTGTTGTTGTAACGTCGTTGAGTGTGAAACGCGAATTCCGGTACTGATGCCCTTTTCTTATGTCGTTTTTCTTGCAAGTCCATGTCTTGCTGCTCGGCGTGGATTTCGGCGTAGAGCGCTACTTCATAGATTTTTCCGTGGGCTCGAAGTATGGCGCGAGTGGAGCGCCAGTGAGGGCCAAGACCGCTGATGACAACCGTGACGAAGGCGTCTTCTGAAATCGACCCACCGCATTGAAGAAGCTTGTCGCGCAGCTCACGGCAGCGTCTGCTATATGCCATTCCCTTCTCGCCTTGTTTCATTTCGACCGTTCTCAACTGCGCCATTAACCGACTTTGGTTAACACTGTCTGTTGCTTGATACAGGTTCTTCAAGTGGTTGTACGCGAGCTCTGCAGAGTTGCCGTATCCCCGGTAAGACCGTATATTCTGCTGCTGGTTTGGTGTGACGTTTCTCAGTAGAATCGTATACGCCATCATTGACTGATACGTGTATTGCTGTTTGTCGTACTGTGTCCCATGTGTTGGGTATGGCAGGGACCCGTCGAAGAAGCCAAGGATTTGCGCTCCTTCCATCATCAGCTCAAATTCGAACGACCAGGTAAAGAAATCCTTTCCGTCGAAGGGTTTTGACGTTTGCAGTTTTAGAACGTGCGCGAACTGTGACTGAACTTGTAGTGCGTCCAGTGTTCTCTCTTGTCCCGGTGCAGGTTGTGGCATGAAGCTGACAGAGCCGCGCTGGGGCTCGTACGGAGCGAAGGTAGGCTGCTGCTGTTGATTTCCGCGTGCGTAGGATGAGTCATCGAGACTCATGGGTGTCACGTTGTTGTTTTTGCTGTTGTTTGATTGTGCAGGTGCTCCTTGCTGGTGTTGCTCGTAGAAGGACATGAAGGAGAAGAACTTCTCCATCATGCTTGGATCAAAGCCCGCGCCTTGGTTTGCGGGTGTTTCGGTAGACCCGGATATCAGTCTCGTTGTTGTGCCCTCCTCAGTCTGTAGGCCAGAGGCAGGAGGTGGAGTAGGAGTAGTACCAGGAGAGCCGTTGGAGGAGCTTCTCTCTTTTCTGGTAGACATATCTCTTTGATGTATTAGGTGCTAAGAAATGAGTTTTTAACCCTAACCTGCTCTCATACCATGTTGGGCAGAAGAGGCCCTTAGGATCTTTGGTAGGGCTAAGTTCTGGGTAGGGTGATGTAATAGCGGAAGCGTTGAATGAAGTCTTTGAACCAGGGCCTCAGATTGGTTTTTGTGTACCCTGAGCACTGATTTTCAGTGTCGTCTAGTGTGAAACACTGAATTTACAGAGCTGTTAGAAATAAAACGCTGATCAATCAGGGTTTCTACAACTTCAACACTGATCAGCATAGTTGCTTTACTGGTATGCTGTCTTAACACAGCGAATCAGACTGCCCTCACTTTACAATTCCCAAATTCGGCCAGGATTCTGCTGTTTCCGTGTCTGATTGGTCAGAAATCTTATGTGACCAATCGAATAGGACAATTGTTAAGAGTTGTTTCTGATCTCTGGTTGTGTACTTGACTGATGATTCGGACTTGGTTTGTCACAGCAGATTCGCCCTGACGGCAAATTCGACCTCGCACAGTCGTTAAGCGCTGTCGCAGCACAGCAAATTCGCCCAATCACAGCAGATTTGCCCTGACAGAGCAGCAGATTCGCCCCTCACACAAGAGATTCGCCCTGTCATAGCATGTTTCGCCAGAAATCCCCTTGGTGCACGGTGCACAATGACGGCGCGCCAAAACAAGGAGTTTTCGGTTTCAGGGTAGACCCCGATACAACATTGACTCGTCAGTGTCCTCAAACACAAAACACTGGAAAATCAGAGTTCGAAATTTAAAAACACTGAAACATCAGGGTCGTTGAAAAAAAAAGGCTGATGCATCAGGGTCATGATAAAAAACGGGGGTTAAACCTCAGGAATTCAGGGTAAAATTCTTGACATATGAGGCCCTGCTTTGAACCACCTTGCGCTGGTATGTGAGGGCAAAGTAAGTTGATTAAAGCAAGCAAATACAAAGGTTTATATAAGAGTACAAGAGATACATTTGATAACTGTTTTACTGTTTGCTGTTGCGGTTCGATACAGTGCGACTCGGGCAACTTCTCAATATCGAGTCAGTTGTGTGTCCTTGCTGTCACGCTGCATTTGTCAGGTCAAAGGTCGCTGACCTTTGACTTTCGCGTAACCTCTGATGGTTATTTCAACCTCCGAGGGTTGACTCGCCGATGCTTCGATATGCTCTGCTTCACTTCAGACTTGGTGTTTCGACACGACAGATGCGTATTTTAGATTACTTGTTCCCAACAATTGCCACTCTGCTCTCCATTTAATAACGGTATCTGTGAAACAGAAAATCAAGTTAAGGAACAAATGACAATCAGCGTCAGCGACGAGCCCGCTTCTTCTTCTTGGCCTCCTTCTTGCTGACATCATTCGTCACAAGAACTTTCCCAAAGACATCATTCAGGGCAGAAGTTGACGTCAGTGCAGCTTGGACAAGAGCCAGTGCCTGCAAAATGAAAATCACAAGATCAGAGGGCGCTGGTAAAATGCTCATCAGAAATAAACTGAACCATGTTACTTACATGGTCTCTGGTGACAGTTGTCTCAAAGCTCTCCAAATCGCTCATGGATTTGACGCCCAGGCTGTTCAGAAGATGGATGCTCTTGATCGTTGAGCTGGGGAAGAACTCAAGGTCGTCAGTCACCATGAACGTGACAGCCTCCTTGACAAACCCTCCTGACATCTGAGCTCCAGTCCCACTACCAACCAGGGTGAGAGAATTGGTCATTTGAGAGCCACAGTCAGGGCAGTGGAAGCAGTATACATTTCCCACTCTGTGGAGACTACGACACGTGTATAACGTCTGTGAGCTGTCCACAGCCCCACCTCGACAAAGTTTCAACTCTCTGGACATGGGCTGAGCACATCTGCGACAACTCGTTCCGGACACCAATGACACAGACCACTCACATGCGCCGGTAGGGCAAGTAAAGTACCCTCTCTTCTCTGGTCGACCAAGGAGGCACAGCTGAGAAGATCTTTCTAATGGTGAGGGGTTCAGAATTTTGTCCTTATCCACTTTCATGTACGAATCGTCAAGCTTGTCTGCACTGGAGAAAATGTTCAGAATCCCAAGTCGGCCTTTGATACGAATTCCGCTTTCCATGAGAAGCTTCAGCAAGTTGGCGGTGGGCATTCGAAGGAGAGACATCAAGAGATCGATGAAATCCTTTCCAACTTCAAGGTACAATATTTTATTGCTTTCCTGAAAGCATGCACACGGTTGAATTGAAAAATGACGGTCATTCCAGAACGGAAGCTTGGAACCAATCGTGCACTGGCCAGTGGTTGCGGATCTCACCTTGCTGAAGAGGACATTTACTTTCATTGCGGCTCGTTTTGAATCCGCCATGGTTATACACGATGAAAGGCGGCAGATTGGTCCCTAAACGGAAAATTGCGTTCTGGACTTAACAGTTCCTATGAAAGAAGGCATCTGTTGCATGGCATAAATACGGCTAGTGTCCCTCCCTAATATTTGTCACCAGCATGCAAGGCAACCGAAAATGCCGTCAGATTCAAGAGGCCCGTTCACGCAGGGCTGAGTTGACGTTGGGCTCTGACATTAGGGTTTCGACTTGTGTGTATTGGTCGCACGTATTCGCTGGGAAGTTCCGTGCGACGAAATCCAAGGCATCTTCTGCACCACTCCCCTAAGTAAGCGGACTGTCTCATGGCTGATCCCGCCATGTGCTGGTGGAAAACTGCTACCCGTGTCCTGACAGAGCATCTCTGACGTGTGCTGCTGTGCAAGCCATCTGAAGGGATTCGGAGCAACTCACACATGCACTGGAGGGTCGAAGCCCATCAGAAAGTGAACAGATACCATCATCGTATGTTCGGTTTCGAGTCCACCCGTCCAATTTCGTGCATCCTTGAACTGGGGAGGGGAGCCCTCAAAGAGGTCACAAAACGAATTTGACACACGAGTTGTTGCTCAGGGCATGTCCAGCTCGTACACTTTCGGTTTATATACAGTTCACCACCCTTGGTGCAAAACAATATCAAACGGTGCAAAGCGATTTTAGATTTTCACCTTTGTTAACCGTGACGCAAAGCGGTCAACCACACAAAATGAACTGAAACGTACGAGCTGGACATCCCTCATCCTTGGTTTGCAACGACACTGCAATACAGTATTCGGGATTGACAGGATACACCCTCTTTCGCGCTAGTAGAGCAACTTGTTGGAGAACGTACACGAGTTGTAGAACGTCACCACGTTCAAAATGGTCTTGTCACCAACTGTACAAGCACAATGCGAAGAATGCGGTTAGGTAAGTTAATGCACGTTACAAACAGCTTTGTCAGCGTTTTTATTTGGTTAGAAGAGGTTTACAGCGATAACGGAAATATTACGCCCTCGAGCCAGTTTGTCAAGTGGTTCGGCTTTTCCCCCCAGGTTGCTCGGAACGTTTGTGGCACCTGACCGCATGAGACAGCTACTCTAGCGACGAGTCGCGCTAGGTGAAAAGATTGAGAAAGTGGGTGTAGGTTGGAGTTCCAAATTTGTGGTGTGACGAAATATCCTGGTTTGTGTCACCCAGAAGTCACAGGGCTTGAGTGCGCTTCGGGTTTGTAAGTGCTTCGTTGTGACTGCAGCGCTATTCGATGCGCATGGATATACGTTTGATATAGTTTGTTCTACAAGGATAGAAATGATACTCACAGAGGATTTCGACAAGACATTCCTTGTTGCTCTTACGTAACAGACAAAAAAAAAAATCTAGAGCGTCAATGAGTTGATTGTGTCTAGTTAAGTGCAAGCAGCTTCTGGGCGAAGAGGCGCTTGGTAATCCAGAAGACAAGCAGCTCGGGCGTGACTTTGCGCTCGTCAATGATGAACGGCTCTACTGTGCTTGGTGGGTTGCCATACGACGTGAGGGAGAAGCCACGCGAGCCTGATGGAAGCACGCGCATTTATAAGAGTGAGAGCCGGCAAGGGGATGAGAGTGAGGAGGTGAGGATGGGTATGAAAGCAGAGACAAACTCGTCAATAATGAAGGGCTCCACTGTGCTGGGCGGGTTGCCATACGACGTGAAGGAGAAGCCACGCGAGCCTGATGGAAGCACAGCGATTGCAAGTGAGGAGGATGCATGATGAGCGGGAGGTTGAGATTGAGGTGTAACTCTGAGGAGAATGACATCAGCTCCCAGGCCATTGCAAGCTCCTGCCTGCCTGCTGCTCTACACTGGAGGGTGCACCATACGATGTGAGGGAGAACACGCAAGCCCGGTGGATTATGGCAGCAAGGAGGGTGAAGTTGGGTGCAAAAGTGGAAGACACGGAACTACAGGAAGCAGGTCCGGAAGTTGGGACGCCGTTTTTAATGAGGGAATAGGTGTGTGTTGAATTCAGAGTTTCCGTGTATGCCTAGAACAATGTGTGGGGTGAGGAGGCGATTACCTCCGAGTGCGCCATCGGGAAAGTAGGCCTAGAAATTGATGGGGATGTTATTCTTGATGAGGAATGTGTGGGTTACTGTGAGATGGTTATAAATATGGCTACAAAGGGTGGTTACCGTCAAGTGCGCCGTCAGGGAAGTAGGCCCAGAAGTTGATGGGGATTTCGTTCTTGATGAAGCTGCCACACAGCTGTCATGGGCGGCGGGCGAGGGGGGAGATGTAAAGGACAGGGGGGGTATGAGGGAAGGGAGTCTGACGAAGGTTAGATTGATGTGATGCATGCAGAGCTGAGGTGATTCATGGAAACTGAGATCATAAATGTGTGGTAAAAAAAAAAAAAAAAAAAAAAAAAAAAAAAAAACAGCACAGTTGTATACTTAATGACAACCATCCACTCCACCCATCCATCCCTTCCCTCATGCTAGCCCTTCCTCCTCCCCTCCCCTTCCCCAATCTGCCTTTCCCTCCACTTCTCACTCTCTCCCTTCCCCTCCCCCTCTCCCCCCACCCCTCCGTCCCCTTCCCCTCCCCTGCCCCCAACCCCCCCTCTCCAGCACGCACCACATTGTCGGTGAAGTTGATCTCAACGTTCCGCACGCCCTCCTCCTTGCCCAGCCCGGCCAGCAGCGCAGGAATCACGTCCTCACTCATCGCCAGCCCAATAGCCTTCGCCACCACCTTCTTGCCCACCGCCTTCCCCACTGCCTTCCCCACCACCTTCTTCCCCGCTGGTGCCCCCTCTGCCTTGGGCGCCGGGGCAGCAGCAGCCGGGGCAGCGGCAGCAGGGGCAGCGGGGGCTGCTTCTGGTCCAGGCTCGGTCTTGTTCTTGTTGGGATCTGCAGGGAAAAACCAGGGGGGGAAACAGAGTAGGGAGGGGGGGAAGGGAATGTTGAGGGCTTGTTTTACTACTTTCTTTCCTGCAGCAGGAACGTGGGGACTGCCGCTGGTGCAGGCTCGGCCTTGTTCTTGCTGGGATCTGCAAGGGAATGGGAAGGAGGGTGGGAAGGGGCAGGAGTGAAGGTAGTGACCTTCCATCCCAGGCACCTGCGATACATACACTGACCATGGTGACGAGCGAGGGAGCTGGGGACGAGTGAGAAGCTGGTTAAACGAGTGTGGCACCACCTGAGATGGTGGCGTCACAACGAAGATGGTGTGGTGTGTTTCTCCTTGTGTGCTCAACTCAACTCCTTTCCCATGCTTCTTCATGCACGTGCACAATGCTCAGCAAATCGTGCACTTTCGATGACGAGCGAACGAGTTGTTGATGAGAAATGCAATGGCTGGCAGGCGAGATGTTCTCATCGACAACTCGCGAGTATATATATGTATGCTGAGAGCACACCTTCGATGACAAGTGTGTTGTTGAAGCCGCCAGCGCCATCGGAGATGGTGGCATCGGCAGGCGAGTGCTGCCACACGCCATCCACTATGAACTTGTATGCGTACCGCCCGGGCGGCAGCTTCTGTTGTTTTGTGATGATGGGGAATTGGGGGGGGGAGGGAAGGGAGGGGGTAGTGGGTGGGTGGGTGGCAGGTGAGAGCAAGCAAGCGATTGGCGTCCCGACATGGCACACGCCGCTCACTGGCACGGCAAGGCAACGCAACAGCATGAGCGTGCAAGAAGCAGGTCCCATCAAATCTCTGCTCCTTCCATCCTTCCCATCCCAAACCTATCCCAATCCCAACGCGTGTATGATTTGTGTGAAGCGACTCATACAAGCTATTGGTGACAGCTTCACCTCCCTCCCTCTCTCCATCCGTCTCTTCCCATCACGATCCCGTGCTGTTGCTCGTCCGATTTAGGGCTCGTCGCGTCACCTCGCGTTGAAGGCTGAAGCTCATGGGATAAACGCCTAACTTGACTTGACGTCGTTTCCCGTCACAGCCCGGCCGAGTCTCAAGCGCCGGGCCTCGTCGCGTCGCATGCACGGAATCCGTTTACTCCTCCGCACTCAAAATGATAACCTACATTGACTAAATTTGGGTGACATTTGAGAGTTCCCACAAGTGACACAGGATCCGCCTCCACACGAGGTGACTTTCGGGGGGACTCAAAAGTCAACACGGGATCCGCCTCCACACGAGGTGACTTTCGGGGGGACTCAAAAGTCAACACGGGATCCGCCTCCACACGAGGTGACTTTCGGGGGGACTCAAAAGTCAACACGGGATCCGCCTCCACACGAGGTGACTTTCGGGGGGACTCAAAAGTCAACACGGGATCCGCCTCCACACGAGGTGACTTTCGGGGGGACTCAAAAGTCAACACGGGAACCGCCTCCGCGCACTCCAACGGGTACATCGAGACGGCTGCTGCGACGAACGGCCTCGGATGCATGCATGCAGGGGCGAGCAGAGCGGGATGCAAGGTGTGCAAGGTGTGCAAGGTGTGCGGACGCGAGGTGCAGGGGAGCAGCGCAGCAGGACGGCTGCGACGGAAGGCCTCGGATGCATGCTTCTCGGCGCGTGGCGCATCTGTTTTGACGCACGATCACACCACGGACCGTCGCGCGGAGAACGAATTGCGCGTGCGGGGGCCGGCGAGGTTCGTTGTCGCGCGGAGCGGGAGGCGCGCAGAGTAGAGGCAACGAGGCGCGGGAGGGGAACGCATTACCTGAAGCGCAGAGAAAGAAACGCGCGGAGGTAGTTGCGTTACCTGGCGCGCGGAAGGGCATACGGTGCCTGGCGCGCGGAAGGGCAAACGGTACCTGTCGCGCGGAAGGGCAAACGGTACCTGGCGCGCGGAGAAGGTGCCGTTGGGCAGCTTGACGAGCGGGATCTTGACCTCCCAGTTGAGAAAGTCGCCCGTTAGAAGCACCTCCGACCCCGGCCCGCTCCACGAAAACGACACGTCCTCCGACACTGCTGGGGGAGGGGTAGAGGAAGGGGAGCGGGGAGAAGGAGAAAGGTGAGAGGGAT